TGCTCGGCAAGACCGTTTTGTGCTTGAGCGCCACCAAGTCGTGCTTTACTGTAACTTCAGCAGCTACAGGCACGTGAACAAATGCGGCAATCTCATTGGTCGGCCAGTTTTTTACGCGGCGCGTCAAATAAAAAAAACGAGCCAGAGGCGTTTTCTTAAAAAATGACACTTTTACGCCTCGCATTTTGCGCGTCGGTGTGCACACTCACATTGGCGCCCTTTGTTTAGTCACGAGGCGTTAAACGTCGGCGATAATCACGCGCGATATTCGTGTAAACAAGCCTTAACAGCATGGAGACTGATGGCTCTTCACATCAGGATGACCTTGTGTCAAAGAAACAGTCAAGTTTCTTTAGTGATTTGGAAATGGTTCGGATTAGAGAGGTCAGACGCTGAACAAACTCTTGTAAAATGTAAAACTGTGAATGTTTGGATTTATATGAAATGGAAATGATTTACAATAACGTTCCATGGGCAACATTATCTATGGTTAAAAAATGCTGCTTATGTTAATGTTAAAGGGATAGTTCACCCAAAAATGAAAATGTGATGTTTATCTGCTTACCCCCAGGGCATCCAAGATGTAGGTGACTTTGTTTCTTCAGTAGAACACATATGATGATTTTTAACTCAAACCGTTGCAGTCTGTCAGTCATATAATGGAAGTGAATGGGAATCACGGCTTTGGGAGTCAAAAAAACATACACAAACAAAACCAAATTAAACCCTGCGGCTCGTGACGATACATTGATGTGTAAAGACACGAAACGATCGGTCTGTGCAAGAAACTGAACAGTATTTACATCGTTTTTTACCTCTGATTCACCACAATGTCCAAACTGTCTGTCCTGAGCGCGTTCAACAGCCAGCGCCTGATGCGTCTTCTTTTTCTTGCTTTACGGCGGATCGCAGACTTATAAGTGCATTACCGCCACCTATCTCTCAAATGGACCATTGACACTCCTAATTGAGATTGTAGATAGTGTCAATGGTCCATTTGAGAGATAGGTGGCAGTAATGCAC